AAATTAATAGGCAGAGTACTTTCATACCATTTCTATTGGTAGAAACAATTTTACATAGCCTGCATGGATGGGGGGGCACATGTATAATCCTGGCTACTTGGAGACTGAGGCAGGAGGATCCAAGTTCCAGGCCACCCTCAGCAACTGCATCAAAATAAAAGGGGCTAGGATGTAGCTCAGTTTTAAAACACCTCTGGGGTCAATCCCCAGTATCCCCTCTCAAAAAAAAAAAAAAAGTATGGCATAATGATGATGTCCTTTTAGAGTGGGATACATAGTGTGCCATAAGTACCTCAGTTACTTGACATTAAAAACAAGTTTCAAAGTGCCAGAAAAGAAACAAATGTGTTTGTTCCAGTCTGAATGTAACCCCACCTCCCAACCCCAGCACATGGCATGGTATATCAGTATTTAATTTGGCTGTGGACACCTTTAATTTGCTGTATGTTTCTTGTTAGTTCCTCATATTAATCTTTTCATAAGAGATACAGTGTCAGTTTCAGGATAGGTGCACCCTTAATGATTGCGTATCCTCAAATGGTTGCATAAACCCAGGTTTATCTGTCTTGGTTCTGCTACCTGGTAGCTGGGTGATCTCAAATTTCTCATTTTTAAAGTGGGCATAATTCTAATATCTATTCTTAGGGCTGTTGTTGATGATTACTATGAACTGTGGTTATTATGAACCCATATATTATTTTCAACTTGTAAGTTACATTCAACCTGTACATTGTGATTAATTTACCAAATTAACAAAGATTAGGCAAAAATATAACTTTGGTTACAAATGGACAAAATATCTTTATCACAAATTTAATGCCTGAGCAGTGTTTTCCTGCATGGCAGAGTCTGAAGTTGTTGATGATTAAATGAGAGACCATGTCTTGCAAAAAGCAAACACTCAACTATTAGAAACTATTATTTATTGGTAATGAACTCTTCAACTGTAATAATTTTTTTTTTTCTAAATGTTTGCCTAGAAGCCTACGTTAGACTCTGGCAATTGCTTGCACATTATTCAAGGTGTGGCTTGTATTTTTTCCCTGGAGGAACATTTAAAGAAAATAACTTTGATAAGAATGTAGAAATTTTTAAGCTGTCCAGAGGAAGGAAAAAGCCTCATTCCTTGTTGATCCACATAGAATTAGTAACATACAATTTTCAAGGAAGTAAGGTTAGATTCTGTGTGTAGAATATTGTTCTGTAACTATTCCTCGGCACAAAGTTGGTTAGCACTCAAGCTTTCAAGAATTATTCCTACAAAGGCCTGATAAAACATCAGGAATGGGGTTAGAACACTCCCTCTTCATTAGTCAATGCTACTTTACAAACCTAGGTTTTATCACTTACGTAAGCCTTAAGTTTTCAGTTTATGATTAATGCATTCAAGTTCTTTCTATATCATATTATAAATTGAGTTGAACTTTACCAATTGAAAGATCCTTTTTCACATGGCTTTGTGTCTCTACCTAGGTTTTATATCATCTTAGAGATTAAAGTATGCACATTCTCCTTAGTTAATTCCTTTAAAAAATAAAATTCACTAGTTGAGAAATTTTAGTAATACATTTATTTCATGGTGATTTTGATTCTCTTCAAAAATAATTTATTCCTCCATCAAAATGTGAAAATCGGTTAATAACACTATTAGCACTGAATCAAAGAAACCTTTTTTAATTACTTTTGAACATTTTGTCAAATTGTCAGACTGCAGTACTATCTCATTCTATTTTTAAGGACCTATTTGAGTACATAAATTACAACCTTCTTTTCCCTTCCCATGACAGCTACTACATACTGGTTAAAGAGAATGAATGAAATGCATTTTTTTTTTTACCTGTCCTGATGTTGTTAATTACTTTCTAAGATGTTTCATAACAGGAAAGCATTTGGCATGCATTCAGAAGCTTGGAATATTAACATCTTCAAGGACGTGAGGTTCTCTGTGTTTGTTTAAAATTATTAAGGAAGAGAGTAAGAGTGTTTATTTTTAATAAAAGGGGCCTTTATGTAAGAAGGTTAATATGGCATAAGACATGGACCGTGACTAACTCTTGGTAGGGTTTAGGGTGTGAAATAAGAACAGCCTTTCAAAAGACCGTATGGGTGGTTAAGTTTGCTTCCCTGATGACATAGGGAAATTCTGAAGACTTTTTTTTTTTTCTTTTTGAAACTAGAGTTCATATCTGAGGCCGTGTACTGGAGGGCACAATCCTGCCAGCTGTGTGCTGGCAGGCAATACTCTCAGAATGATAACAACAGAGCTTAGTGGGAAGTATGGAAAAGGGCTCCAGAGGATTTCCATGTGCTTGAAAGTTAAATTAGCAGGATTCAAATTTTATATACTCAGCTATGGAAATCAATTCATATCACTTTTTCTGCCTCCCAGAAATTAAAAAATAAAGTATGGTTACTATGAACCCATATATTATTTTCGACTTATAAGTTACACTCATCCTGTACATTGTGATTAATTTACTCAACGAACAAAGATTAGGCAAAGATATAACTCTGGTTACAAATGGACAAAATATCTTTATCACAAATGGAATGCCAGAGCAGTGTTTTCTGCATGGCAGAGTCTGAAGATATTGCAAAGAAGGGAGAAAAGACTGAAGAGAAATAGAGGAAGAAGGTTAAAAGGAGGTCCAAGGAATTGAAAGAAAGGGTGGGACCAAGAGAAAGACTGGGAAGAAAAGAGTCTACAAAACAGAGTATTGGGATTACCATCAATAATCCTAAAAGATGGGGATTTCTTTCTTTCTTTCTTTTTTCATTTCAGGGCAGGTACGTTTTTTAAAAGAGGTAACTGGTGGGGGGATATTGACCATTTTTTTTCCCCACATTAGGACAGTAAAGTGATAAAATGTATTCACTCGATTCTATTTACCATCTGGCTCTCCCTGTTATTTTTTATTTTGTCTGGACTGGTAAACACTTCCTGATAGGTTAGCCGTGGTGTCTGCATGGGAGCAACTAATCTAATACTAATTTTAATATAAAAGTTTAGTAGAGTTTTTAAGTCATTCCTACATTCAACATTTGCTTTAGTCCCAGTATGTGGGAAAATTGAATTGGATATGGAATGAAGGGAAAGGAATAACAGTGTGACCTGAGAGAGTGGTGACCAGCAGATAAGATGGAAAGAGCTGTATGTGTGGGTAAGGTAGGAGAATGGCTGGTGGTCATATCAAAGGTTTAGAACTAGCTCTTTTGGCAAGAGGGAGCTGGTGAAGGTTTTTAAGCAAGAAGAGATGACACTGGGGTGGTGCTGGGATGGAATAACAAGGTGAAACAATCTAGAGGAGGTGACAAGGAGAAGGGCTAAAAGGACTGTCGTAGGATTTGAACCAATTCATAATTATAGGGCCCAGTATAGCTGAGGCAATGAAGATAGGGCTCTCCCTGCTGTCACCTTTCTAGGAGGTGGAGACAGAAAGATTGAGCAACCATCTGTGAAGAGAGGGAGGGAGAAATAATCTCCTTTTAAAGGAAGACTTTTGTAATGAGTTCACTACAGATGTAACAAAGTTTTTTTTTAAAAAAATATACTTTTAAATGTATGGGTAAATTATTCCTCATAATTTAAAATAAAGTATAAACAGTGTTTGGAATAATGAAAGACTGTTCATGAAGAATTTTAGATAGGCAGACCAATAAATCATAAAGATCAATAAATTCCAGATTACTTAGAAAAATTGAAGAGAGTAGTGTTTTTGTTTTTTTTTTGGAGGGGGAGAAAGAACACAGAAGTCTCTTGTATTTTTCATTTGAGTTTGTTTCTTCATCAAAAAAGCAGCATTTTGATGAAAAAGAATGGAATTAGGCTAGGATTCTGTTCAACTCCAGCTTCTGGCATTTAATAACTGAGCTATTTTAGTCAAGGCATCCCACCTGTTCCTTAGCCTTACTTATTATTACTGATACCTATTTTTTTTTTTTTTGGTGTGTTTGTACCTGCATGCATGCACCTGCTGAATAAATGGTGGCTACTTTTATTCTTTGCAATAACTTATCAGAGCACAGGTTGATGTCTTTTTGCTACTGGAAAGTGTTTTGATAAAGCAAGAGGTATACTTGACATGGGCTCTGATTAAAAAGGAGATGACATTCCAGGGCACACAGTCATTTTTTATGAGGGCATTTACAACCAGACCAAACAAGTAGAGCCCTTCTTGTGGGCGGTGTGGCACAATGTGGCCATAGGTTTGTGGGGTTTTGCTGTGGCTAAGGTTAACGCCGTGAATGAAGGGGTTAAGCAACGCCCTTACTCATGTTACATGAAGTAGCAGAAATTATCAGATGGAAACAGGAATTGGGAAGGCGGGCGGAAAGATGGCAGTAAGTCATTTTTTCCGAACCAACGGGGCTTGTACTTACATTGACGAGTTGAGTCTACAATCTGGCAGTTTAATCGGATCAGAATCATTGGGGATTTGGGGCACCCTGTCGGCCTGGGCTGGGGAGGGGCGCTTACCAAAGCGGCTCAGCCTGGAGTGGCCTGGTGGTTCCACAGCGCCGAGTCCCGGCTTCTCATTGGAGATCCAGGAAGCTCTTCAGAGGGGAGGCCCCGCCCCTCCGTGTGAATCGCCTGCCCCACGGGGAGGAGCTGGCCGATGCTAATGAGCAAGTTGCCAGGCAAGACAGGAACTTCATTCTCCTCTGTGTCAGGATCACAGAAATTATGCCCCTTCTCTCACCATGAGCTGGCTCTCCAGTTCCCAGGGAGTTGTGCTAACTGCCTACCACCCCAGCGGCAAGGACCAGGCTGTGGGGGAGAGCCACACACGGGGAGGTGAGGAGGCCACCTCGAGGTAAGCCCTGGTGCTCAAAAGCCAGAAAACAAAAGGAAAACCCCTTCCCAGCTCCAGGAAAAAAAGTGACAGGGAAGCTGGTGTGGGGAGAAGGGAGTTACCTGTGCAAGTGGAACCTGACCTCACGCAGCAGCAGAAGTATTTGGCATGGTTTTTATGTACTTTTCATCTCCAGTCCAGGTCTGAAATAGCCCATCTGCTTACTGGTGAAGGAGAAGCAGAAGGAAATGGGGATATATGGCTGTATGGCCATCAGACTAGTTGCCTAGCAGGTGCATTTGCAAATGCTGGAAGATCAAATGACTATATTTGAAACACTTCCTATGAGATGGAATTCTTGAATGGGCTGGAGACATAGCCACTGGAACTGTTAGCTGGGAAAGTCTGCCAAAAAGCAGGAAGGCTGTTCACTGTACAAGCTGTTGTTGTTACAGTGTGTTATTTTCCCCCTCTCTCCTCACTGAAAGCAAACCTCCTAGGCAAAATGCCCAAGATACTGGCCTGTGTCAATGTTTCACATTCTTTCCTGTATGTGGATCTCCCTACCCCCAATCCCCACCCCATTTTTTTTTTCCCCAAAAGAGTTTATATCAGGAGATAGTGCTCTGCCTCTGGAGTGAAATGTGGTTAATGTTAAATCACTTTATAGGCAGAAAGGGCAAATGTTCTATAGACCACTGAGGCGCGAAGGGTACCTTCCTCCCCATCTGTGTACTTTGTTCTGTTTTTCAAGGAATTTTTGTCCCCTTTCTCCCCTTAATGACCTTCTTACTTGCTGAACATTTTTACCTCCTTAGATATAAATGGCAAATATTAGCCTGGAAGATTGCAGAAAGCAAATGCTAACCTACTAGCCTAGAGTGCTTAATTAGTTAACAGAAAGTGCATTTCCTCCTTGATGCTTATTGTGATGATAAAACCTCCTTTGTTCTTAAGTGACTTATGCTGCCTTATGTGCCTTAAGTTGAAATAATGCCTTCTTTCATTTGTTTTGAAATCCTCAAATGTGGGGGAGGTGAGAGAATCAAAGGAATGGCTGTAATACTCTGGGTTGGACCTAGGCTGACTAAAACTTTTTTCTCACATGGCACCCACAGCCAAAGATATAAGGGAATTGATGCTTGTGCTATAGCTGTTACCATTTTCTTTTCTGTCCTTTTAAGTATTCTTTCTTTCTTTCTGAAATCATTAGCTGTTCATCCAGTTTTCCCATTGAATATGTATATACATGTATGTGTATTATATATGGATATACATGTGTATATGTAGTAATCATTCAGCAGTAAACAGCCTGCCACACCAATCCCATGTCAACCATAATTTGGCTTCCACATTGCAGTCAAAATTGTCAGAATTGTGCAAGCTCAGCGCGTTCTTTAGTGACTTCATACTGGAGTGGCCTGAGGATCTGAGCTGAATCTTAGATCTGGATTGTGAGAGTAAATAGAACCATAGGAACTTTATGTTCAAACCACTCATTTGAGGACTCAAATCCAGGGATTCCTTAAGTAGTTGCAAGGCTTCTAGTTTTAGGATCTGCCTGGGGCTGTTGCTCAAGTTCCCAAGATACTTTTTGCTGTGTCTGCAGTCTTGCAGCTTGTTGTGGGTGGCCTGTACTCCAATGGGATGAGCAAACAGAGGCAGGGATCATTCTCAACTATTGCTGAGACAGAACCCAGAGGCACTGAGGCAGCAGGGTGGGCAGCTTGTCTCTGCAGTGAATGCTTGGAGCTAGGCTGCAGTTCCGGGTCTTGCCTGCTGATACCATATTACTTGCCCATAGTGCACCCCAGCCCTTACACCCAGTGAATTGGGATCCTAGGCACACAGTTAATTTATGTTGGTTGGAGAACACGGCAACCTGGTTTGAGGTCTGGGAGGAAAGGCAGGGAGGAGGGGAAAATCCTTATTAGCTTTTACCCTTAAGCATGGAATAATTTCCCAGATGAGTAAAATGTAATTTTGAGATGCATCCTATGTAACCTCAAAGAGTTAAGGTACTGGAATTGGCATGGGTGGTGGAGATGCATAGAAGGAGGAGGGATTTGAGTGTGAAACAGGATCACTAGTGATGATCTAAGCATATGATGATTTTGGGGGGCGCATATCAAACTTTGGTTTTGTCTGGTCAACTGCTCCAAAGTGCAAGATTGATGGTTGATACCTGTTTTGTAGAATTCTGCAAGAAGTAAAATCAAAACAAAACTCTTAAAAAGAGACTGAATTAGTTTCTGCCTTTCCTCCTACCTGTATGTTGCTAGAGGTACCTAAAATTCTGACTTTATTTGTCACAAGGTTTTCTTCTTCTTTTTTAAAAAATGTACTTTAATGAACTGTTTAATCAAGAAATCTAAGAAGCTTTTATGTATATGATTTAGCATATTTATTTTAAAAGTTTGATTTTTTTAAGCTTTGTCTAAACAAATATTTTTATTCTGGTCTTTATGAAACTGGGATAGTAGGGAGTTAATATTTTTAAAAAAAAAATCAATATTTTTCAGTTTTCGGTGGACACAATATTTTTATTTTTATGTGGTGCTGAGGATCAAACCCAGCGCCCTGCACATGCCAGGTGAGCGCGTTACCGCTTGAGCCACATCCCTAGCCCGGGGATTAATAATTTTTTAAAGTAATTTGTTAGTCTAAAATTCCCTCCACTCCATTATCCCTCTTTATCAGAACACATTCACTGGATGCCAAATTAAGGAATTTTTCCCATTCCTGGTTGGGGCCTTACAAATAATTGTAGAATCCTGTGTTGTTGTGGTGATGGTTTTTTTTTTTCTTCCTTAATGTTTTTGGATTTGGAGAAATATATCAACATTAGCTCTTCTAGTTGCCTTGTACACAGTCAAATGTTTCCAAAGGAAACCACTTTTTAGGAGTAGCTATATTTATAAGACTTATTTGTTTTTCAAGCAGGAGTCTTCAGATGTTTCAGAAGTTTACGTATTTTGTCTATTTACACTGTTATTTCAACTTTACCATCATTTTAAGAGAAAACTATTCTGATTGTTTTGTATCATTTTTATTAATATTTTTAATGTTAATGTCAAGTGAATATTTTATAGAACCATTTAACTCTCTACCTAAATAGGATGAAGAATGAGATGTTTCTATGTCTTTTTTTTTTTTTTTAAACAAAATGTCTTCTACTGTTCAGAGTCTTATTGACCAAATTGCTAGTGGTATTGAGTAGGTAGAACCAAGAGGTGCCCTGTGGTGACTCTAATCCTGAAATCCTAAACTGTAAAACTAACCTGCCTTGTTTACATCCTGACCTTCTCACTCATTAGCAGGACCTTGGAAGAGTTACTTAATTTTCTACCTATAAATCGAACTTCATAATAGTACTTGTGTTTAAGTGGGATGGTCCATATAAAGTCCATGTTCTTGTGTCCAATACATAACTGGCTGCTGTTTTTTTGACACTAGATAAAGGAAAGAAATGATTGGGTTTTACAGCATATAGAATGTTCTTCTTTGTTTCAGAAGAATTTATATCAATATTAAGAAGCATGGGCATGAGCTATGCTTACCTGAGAAAGACATGTTTTAAAATGAACCATAATGTAAAAGTTTAGGCCTTTGAAGGGCAACATTCCTCTGGGCTTTCCTTTCTTTTGAACCATAGAAACTTTTGTGATTGGCACGAGGAATAGTTCCTATTGAAGGTCTGCCTCTGGGAACTGATGGGCACCAAGGTCTGCAAACACTGACTTATGGCAAGATGGAATGTGGGTGGAGCCTTTTTGGGTAGTTGGTCTCCCTCCTGCTCTCCATGCCAAAGTAAGAGGGCTGTCATTTTCATACGCTTATCCGAGTTCTGGACTTAGTTTCTAAGTCTCGCCAGCCATTCCTTGGTTCTGAAAGCACAACCAGTCACTCACTTGGTCATTCCACGTAGAACCCCAAGTTCTTGCTCAGTGTCGGCAATTGTCCAGGTGCTGGGATTATAGAGGGGAACATAATGAATACCTGCGTGGCTCCTGGAGTAGAAAATTAAGACTATGTAGAGCAAGTACCCAGAAGAGCAAAGAGCCCTACGTGGCTGGGGGTTGGGGAGAAGAAAACCAGGGGAATGCTGACCCCTGATGGCCTTTTGTGGAGCTTTTAAGGTCTTTGGTTTATGCTTAAAGTAAGATCAGAAGACATTGAGGGGAAGGGTTTTGAGGAAAGAACAGAGATTTCACTTTTAAAGGTTTCTCTGGTATAATGTTGAGCATAGAGTATAGAAATAGCAACAGCCCCCAGGAGGTGAAGGCTGTGTGGGGTAGCTTGGGCCAAGGTCTAGGTCACAGTGGCATTGTGGGGAGTGAGCAGGAGGGTCTTTTGAAGATACTCTGTAGGATTTCCTGATGGATGTGATGCATGACCGAGTGGGAATAAAGATGGTTACAGGGCTTTTGGCCTAAGAAACTTTGAGGCCAGGGTTTTAGTCAGCTTTTTCACTGCTGTGCCCAAAAAGACCTGACAAGAACTATTATAGGAGGAAAAGTTTATTTTGGAGCTCTTGGTTTCAGAGATCTTAGTCCATATAGTACAGACTCCATTCCTTGGGTCCTGAAGTGAGGCAGGACATCATGGCAGAAGTGTGTGGTTGAGAAAAGCAGTTGGGAACATGGAACCAAGAAGCAGGAGCAGAGAAAAAGACTCCACTCACCTTGGCAAAATATATACCCCCAAAGGTACACTGCTCACCTCCTTCAGCCACACCCTACCTTCCTAGAGTCACTACCCAGTTCATCCCTATCAGGGGATTAATTCATTGATTAGATTAATGTGCTCTTAACCCAACCAATTCACCTCTGAACCTTCTTGCATTGCCTCATACATGCTCTCTTGTGGGATACCTAATATCTAAACCATAACAGAGTTGTTATAAGTTTAGTAAAGATTTCTTGGATTGTATTAGGGCTGGGTAAGATGTGAAGCTCAGTTTGGGCCATCTAAGTTGGAAACATCTTTTGGAGAAAAACATTAAGAGAAGGACATGACCC